ATTTGTGGTCGGTGGAAGGGAAACATTGCCCCGGTGTTTGTGGTCGGTGGGAGGGAAACATTGCCCCATCATGTACATATATATTTCACTATCAGAACCCATACCAGTAGCAAACCTTCTTCTTCCTTACCCTTGTTCAAAACTCTAAGTGCAGTATATCCCAGACTCTCATGTGTCATATGACACTGTTGTGTCACCAGAAACAGGAAGATTTCCTCAAACTCCTGAGCAGGCACCATGTTGGTCAAAAGTCTATTATCACCACATGGTGCTGGAACAAGTGTTCCAGCACTCAATATATTGTCTGCAGGACCCTGGGATTTTGCTCAAATTCCAAGGACAGCCCCTTGTGAAGAGTGAGAGCACCACAACTACAAAATTAGTTCAGCACAGATTTATTATATTATTATATATAACGTAATACAAATTTAATAAAACTTTGTTGCTTAAAAGCTGCAACAATGTTTTATTAAAACAAACCCCATCACCAATCCTGAGTAAGGGGGGGTGGTGATCCCCTGAAACACATTGGCTGTTATCTATTGACCTTTTGTCTGAAGTAATCAATCTGTAGCAGAATAATTTGTTTATTTGTGGCACTTTCACTCTTCTTAAGCTGTCTGATCACCTTGGAGACCCTTGGGATACCCCTTAGGATAGGGAGCTGTCTCTTGTGACCAGGAAATATACCAGACCACTTACATATTTTGGACCAGCACTCTACCAACAACCACTTGTGGACAGTCCCTTGGAATCCAAAACAGCTGGGACTTATGGTTTATTGCATTTCACCCCCATTCAGTTATTGTTATAGCACCATTCTGTATCAAATCAAAAGAGAAAATCACCCAAACGTCTTTATACCCCGCAGTAAGCATGGTTACTGCTCTTGTATTCCTGCAGTCTTTAATTTCCATATTACATGCCACCTTTAAATTATCATTTTTTTACCATAGGACCCATATACAGGGGTAGGCAAACTCCAGCCCTCCAGCCGTTGTGGAACTACAAATCTTATGAGGCATTGCAAGATTCTCACAGCCACAGGAATGGCTCCCAGAGACAGATGCCTGATGGGATTTGACGTTTCACAAGTTTGCATTTTTTTTTTATGTTGCACGATATTTGCGCAAATGTTTATACAAATAAAATTTTTAGGAGCAAAAAAAACCCCACTAAAATGAATTTGAGCGTGCACAAACATAATACTCAATTTTTTGGCAAAAAATAAAAGATGGGGTCACATCGAGAATACAGATACCAAACATGTCACGCCTTAAAATGTACCCACGCAATGGTAAAAAACTATGGTACTCAACACGGTCCTTAAAGGATGTTTTACAAGTCTCCCTTGCTTATCAGTATAGAGATAACAGCGAATTATGGCCATAGAATCACTGCTCTACGAGGGTCGGGGCGATAGCCAACATGTGTGGGGAAATCGTTGCTTACGTACACATGCACTCGTTTATTCACATGCAGATGGTGGGGTTGGTTTTATTTTATTTTTTATTTGTATCTTGTTTTTTTATTATGTTTTTATTTATTTTTTCACTTAACTGGATGTTATTACACAGCGGCTAGCAAGCGCTGTGTGATATCGTTTGGAGGTGACAGGTAATCTTTCTGGAGGCATCTGGGGTCTATTTCAGGGCCTGCTTCAATGATCACGGAGCAGATTGGAGAACTGATGTTTACCGGTCTGCTCCCGCTCTTCATCCTGACAGTGTTTACCATGGTCCCGCTTTTCTGCGGGGTGCGGGGGGCAGCGCCTTAGCAGGCTACTACTAGTGATCTGGGCAGCTGTAGCAGCAGCAGCCATGATCTTGGTACAACCTCTTCAAGGCCACGATGTACAGATACGTCATATGATCCTGATGTGGTTAAGAAATGAGAAGCTACTCACTGCATCAGTTAGGGTTAAATAACTTGTTGCCAACTGGAACATATTAATCACTGCAGTAATGATCCAATGGAAGGCTCTTTGCTTAGCTGAATCCAGGTGGTGACTTGTTTTTTTTTGGCCAGGCAGTGTGTGTTTGTACATATACTGTATATATTTATATACATGCACATGCTTACATATATACATAAATATTTATTTTTAT